ATTGTTCTAGAGCTCAAATTCATACAAAGATAGACAGAATGCTTATTCATATTTCCTTTTACATGTCATTAATTTAAAAAAATGCTATTCTCTTTCGAGTTCAATGCATTATGCAAACTTTAATTTCCGTATTTTATTTCCCTTCGTATCTTTTCATTGCTCGACACAGACAACGGCAATGTGTACCAAGTGTATCGTAACGCGTATATTTATTACGCGAAATAACATTAAACCGGTTTACCGATATAATTAGCATTTCATTGTCATCAAATTACACTTTTCGTAGCGGTAACACAGTGCAATTATACCTCTCACACGTGTTGCGTCGATACGAGATACTCATATCAATTACCCTTTGCTCGACCGACAACCGTGAGTGTGTGCGTGTGTACACGTTCATCACTTGTCAAGTTTGCAATTAATCGTAATATGATTAATGTCAGGGTTCGCCAGTGCGCTTTGTTAAAATTATAACGTTGTTGCCGCAACAGTAATTAATATAAAGATGTAGAAACAAAAGTAAATTTTTATATAATCTTTACAAGAAGAAAGATATTTACAAATATTTTCCAGAATCTTATTATTAGTTTCCAAATTTTCTCAACTTTTATTCTCAAAAATGTAATATTCAGTAATCAATACGTTCATCTACAAACAACTTGCATTGAAGAAAGTGATTAAATAATTAAAGATAAAATTAAAATTGAACGAAAACAAAGTTATTTAAATAATTTGTTGTTCTTTTTCTTGTTGTTATTTATTAACCTTTATTTTCCCTATCATTTCTTTTATGAGCATCCAATTTTATCGAACTCATAATGTCATGCTTGATGAGCAAAGATAACGAGCAACTCTAGAACTTCGCAAACTTTGTAAAACTGCGTTTCGCAACTACGCTGCGTTCACAATGCGCGAAGATACACATTAATTAATTCAATTATAGATGAGGTCTTTCATACGAGAGAGGGGGCGAGAGAGAGAAGAGGAAGAAGCGTCGCGCAACGCGATATTCTGCAACGGCGGCGCGGCGGTGCAGCGGTATATGCGTGCGCGATTACGACGCGCGCGTATCTACATAAATTAATTGTGTGATACGCATGCGATGCGTAATGGGCCGCACACACCGTGTGCGCGGCCTGCATAATAATTGCGCGTACATAAACCGAGAAGCCCCCCGGATATAACGTTCGAGTATCGTTTGCTTTACCTACAAACGCGCGTTTGCCGACGGTAATCGTTATCTAATGAAACAGTCGGCCGACAAATAGAGTTGGATTGAATTTACTGTTACTACTATACGCGCGACCGGAATTTACCAATAAACGCCTGGAATCAATAAAGCCTATTTAACCGTTATTTTACAGTTTGCGCTGATACTTCAAGCCTGTAATATTTGCAGTCGCGCGAATGTGTGGCTCTCTAACTCGTTAATTGCTTGTGGTTTCCTAACATGTAAATTTTCCCTATTGTTCATGATCATGTATTATCTACAATTGTAGATGATTGACGCTATACAAAGGGTCTCCTAATTATCACATTGTTTCTCTTGTCTATAATTTTTTCCCTAAGTAGTAGTCGCGTTAAGAAATATTTTTCCACTTGACATATCATATATTAAACGATATATACTTATCGTATTGTAAGCCAGATAGAAGAAAGGTTCATCATGAGGATAGAATTGGAAATTTCCATAGTATGCTTCCTGATGGTACCGGAAAATTTCCTGGCCATTTTCTTTTTATTCCCATTGCCTTCGTAATATCATACTTACGCGAGAGGCCAATGATATTTCGCACAGCGGCCATCTCGCCGAGCTCCAGTTTATCTCGTTGAGGTTAAATAAAGAAAAAGAAAGATAAGCGAGAGTCGGAAGAGAAGTGAAACGAGAGATTGAGAGAAAAAGAGACCGGAGGGGGATCCTGAAAAAGGAGAAAAAGTCTACACCGAGAAATTGCGAGAAAACGTGGCAAAGCGGCATAAAAAGATCAGAGTGGAAGGGTGCGTAGAAAAGGAGAGTAGCCTGAAGGGATAAGAATCTCCCCGCAAGCTGGCAAATCGGACTTCCAGCTTTTTGAGCTTTACTGGACAAAGTGAAAAATTCTCTGTGCAGGAATAGGATAAGCCCATAATTCACAAAATCTCTTTTTACGTAACTTCATATTGAAAATAAACTTTACAAATCACAGATCTACCTCGTGATTATACCGAATCCTTCGAGTTATCACTTTTGTTGCGAGGAAACCGCGCTCGTTAGCCAAAAGGATCCCTAAGGATATTTGTTTAAGCACCAAGACCACAGTGTCCCCCACAAATTCCTGTGGAATTTACACCTTCGAGAATTCTCTTATATTTTCATGACTTGTCGCCTGCCAATTTGACATTTTCTTTATCATTTCCCTGAAATTTTGCACCAACTGCAAGATAATCTCTGTTTCCTTATTAATAAATTTATCTTTTCGCAAGATAAGTTCATATTAATAATTTCTATTACATTAAAAATATCAATAATAATGATTAACTGCAATTTCATTGTTATTCTAAAATTAATCATTATAATATATATTCTCAACTTTTAAATAAAGAAAACTAAGATAAAACTACTTATAAAAGTAAAACGATTAACAAAAAGGAAAAAGTGGACTTTGAAAATCAAACGCGATTAGTTAACGTTATGTAACATTGATTTGATAGATACAAGTTATAAATTATATGTTCTGATTCCACTTTGGGCCATCTTCAACGAAGTGGTGACAAATAAATTAAATAATTTCACGCTCTCCGACGAGCATTAGATGAATATCTCAAGATATTCATCGCCGAGTCCACCTGCACCGCTCAGTGGCACCGCTTCGCTGAAGATGACTGAAAGTAGAATCAAAACTTACGGTTCATAATGTATATCGAATTATTAATTAAATGTTACATTAAGCGCATTTGACTGTCAAAGTCCCCTTTTTCCTCGTTACTCATTTTAATTTCAAAATTCTTTAGTTAATTAATTATTTACTTATAAAAAATTAATTTCTTATAAATATTATGAATATTATGAATGAATTAATTTCTTATGAATCTATTTTTCTCCACTCGCGCTATTTACATATGTGTAGATATCGTTATAGATATCTCTGTATAAAAGAAAGCTTATTAATATCTTTTTGCATATACACACAAGAGCAAGATATTAAAATAGAGAACAATTTATTATCTCTCTCCTGCTCGTGCGGCTTACTGTCCGCGTGAGGAAAAAATGAACAACGCCTGAAAAAGGTGAAAAACCGCACGCAGACGTAATTTTAAAGTCCGCGACACGATCCTGAAATAAATGCCGCGGTGCGTCGCATAATTGCCGAGGTGTTACCGCGCCGTAAAAATGGTCGCGTTGCGAGAAACGACCCGTGAACCGAATAAACGACCGCTGTTTCCCATTTCTCGATCGTAAGCGTAGCCCGCGTTTAAACTCAAACTCAACGACGCAAAACTTCCGCTCGGCGGGATATCCTCCCGCGTCACTCAAAAATACACCGCTCGCGGCGCACACAGACCGACTAAACAAACCTTGGGTGTAGATTTATAGACGGGCGACACTCCATTGGGAAATCAACATCGTCTGCGCCTTCAGCGATCTCGCGAAGGAGAGCGAAAACTTTTCTAGTTTTCATTGACGACAGTGCCGCTACGCCAAAAGAAAGATGGATAGAAAGATAGACAGACCATCAGATAGACAGATAGATAAAAAAGAGAAAAAGAAAGAGCGCAAACATGACACTATTTATCGGACTCTTATAGTAAAAAGTAAAAAATATATTTATTTTTATTTTTATTATAATTATACTTGTATTAATTTAACATTTATTTTCCTTCGTTATATGTATAAATATCATATGCATTTAATAATAAATCTACAAGAGATAATGTATTCTCAAAGTAAACATTATCATCCGAAGAGAAGTCGTCAATCGACTTGATCTCATCACCACCTCCGGCTTTAACCAACATTAAACTTTCAAGCTGCCACTACTTCCCATGGGGGATGAAATGTGGCAAACGCGCGCTAGCTGCAATTTAACCACGTGCAACCTTTCGAATTTCCACCTCGCCAAAATGTCGGATGTTTTGCAGCTTTTTTATCTCATTGCTACTGTTTTTTGTCTTCGTGTTTTTATGTAAGTAATGATACAAGAATTTTGGCAGAATTTTGGATTTTCCACCTGGATTTTGTCGTCGAATTTCTCCATTTTTGTCTCATAATCTTGTCAATTTTGTCATAATAATCTTGAAACAAATAATTGGAATATAATAATAAAAAATATTGTGAAAGTTAAGATATCTCTAATAAACTAACTTCAATATCAAAGAAAATGATTGTAGTTGAAAATACTATTAAAATATTTTCAATATTATTGTATAAATTTCAAAATACGTAAAAAAAATTCATTTCACTCGTATGTATAACATAAATTATAGTGCCAATAATTGTTATAAACAATTATAACAATTATAACAGTTATAACTTGTCCATATGTGACGACGTGATAAACGAAAGATAGGAAAAGAAGAGACACAATAATACAACAATAGTATTATAATAGAAGAATCATGGCACTTATTCGCACGTGTGTTTCTTAATTTCAACCCCTAGCGAACATGTCCAATAAATATTATAGCAAAAAGAAAAAAGACAAAAAGAGAAAACGAGACAAATGCAAGAAACATTTATTGCCTAATTTTACCTCCATAAACATGTTATGTTATTCGAATAACATTTCTTGCTGTTTAACGCAAAGAAAAAAAATAGATAAGAAAATATTTGCTACTAAAATTAGCAAATGTTCATATAAAAGTAATAATAAAAGCATCATATTGCTATTAATGTAACTAAAGTCGCAAAAAAATAAATATTATGTTTTAATTCTTATATAGAAATAATTATTATATCATTATATGTATTTTGTTTATACATACAAATATCTTTCAACGTATCGATGTTTTTATATTTGCAGTGTTCAGGTGCAGCTTCGGGCGATTTTTCGGAACGAGTAGCAGCGCTTCTACAATCGTCCTCGACTCAAGACGACTGCTAGTAATGCGCTCTATAACACGTGACGGCCCTTTCTTCCCTGGTCCAGCATGTCGACGAAAGGAAGAAAGAGGAAAGGTATCATTCGAAGGGAGAAATAATCCGACGCGAGCGGCGCGTTCTAAATGATTTTTGTCGAGCTAATCTATAAGCTTTAAAACACGTTCCGAGGCAGCGTCTCTACTTTAGGCTTAAGGCTCACTCTCTTTTTTTTGTGCGGACGATGCTGCAGCATGACGACAGTGGAACATATGGAAATGTCGCAGGCAAAAATTGTCAGAGCCAAACGCGACTTTCACGAGACTTCGCGTGAAATGGAATGGTTCCCTCTCGAGACTCTTTACTTCGTATTATTTTCGTGAGAAAATTATTCCGGTCCTCGCATCGATATTGTTACATGCAAATTAATTTTTAACGCCGCAAATTGTATTTATGCAACGCGATTATAAGCACAGCAAGATTATTGCGTGTAAAAAATTTAATAATTTATTTCTGTGAAAAAAATTACCTATTCTTAAACCAGCAAGATTAAATATGATCAATTTCATAATTTATGTGTTAAACATCAATTCTTTATTTAGAATCATTGCTTATTTTATTTTTATTAGAAGAGGTCTATTTAAAAATCTAAGGGGATTCAACATATAATTGGCAACTTACACTCAGTTCAGAAAAAAAAATGAAGTGATGACCTCGTACTACAAATGCAAACAAATTTCACGGAAATTCCCTTGTAATAGAATTCTATGTGGCCCATGACATAGCTAACACTCGTATCCATGTATCTACAACGTCGAGTAACAAGGTCCACGAGTGAGAGGTGCGCGAGGATAATGTCCGGTCAAAGTTTTCTACCGTTGGAAAAGCGACGAGTGCGTGAATAGTGTGCGTGTGTTTGTCTGTGTGTGTACCCACACCGTGTGTGCGCGGAGAGGTCGGGAAATGTGAGAGATAGTTTCGAAAGCGCGGTGGGTGGGTGTCGGAATGGCGGTGATCTTCCTGGTGAGGGCGCAGGCGTTAAATTTCCAGATAGCCCCGGCAAATAAGTGCCGCGTAGATAAGCGCGGAAAAACCATGCCAACCTGGGGGTTAGGGAAACGGGTAGGGAAAGGGGATACTTACGGATACTGGAAAAAGCGAAAAGAGAGCCACGCCGTGAAAACGGGCGCGATAATGGCGCGGAAATGGTGTCGGCATACGTAGCGAACGAAAAGAAAGAGCGACGCCGAAATTACGAGTCACCCAGTATGGGAGAGGAAGCTCTGTCTAGAATTAGGCAATTAGGATCGTATCCAGGGAAAAATCGGTACGTAATGATTCAAGAAGTTATCATCTCAGAAAGAGAAAGATAATTAGATAATTATACAAATATAGCAGCATTAATTTGAAGAATTAATGTAATAGATAAAAAGATAAAAGAGAAAAATACATTAATTAATCCAAAAAAAATATTAAAAACTCTTCTAATATTTTAAATGTATATAAAATAAGAGGAATTTTATATTTTTTTCCAAAGTAAATTTCTCTACGTTATTTTTTAAGTGAAATTATATTTTGTGCTATTCCCGGTATATCAATTTTTTAATCCTAGATATAATAGGTTCTAATTAAAGTAACTTTCGTTTAAATTTACATCATAATATTATATTAATAATGATTCTAAAAAGTTAATAGAAGAAAGAAGGCAAAATATATATTATGAAATTGCATGACTGGTATGATTTTTTACTATCGTTTAATTTTCTTCGCGACCGTCGGTGTTCTCAATTATACGAATGATTGCGATATTTACAGTGAAGGATGCGTAGCTATTTCACGCTCCCTGTATTGAATCCCGTGCAGCGAGATCTATAAATTGACGCCGTTATACAAACGTTACGTATACATATGTGGAATCATGAATATTCACGCTATGAAAGATATACTGAGGCCCGAACGCTGTGAATATCGATATTCAAGATTACCTAACCGCGAGCGAAGCGTGAAATATTTAGGTCTACGTGCCGAAATGTTCTAAAAACCGCGATAGTATATGCGGCGCATTTGCATGACACGTTTATATTTTATGAGTGGCTTCGACAGATATATCTTAAAGCTTTTGAGGCATCAAAAGCGGAGGGACGCAAATATAATTTACACGGAATTAAGAATTATAAATTTCAAAGTTTGAAAAATATAAGAATGTATTTATAAACTCGCGCACACACACACAAAATTTATTGGAATTATTGGATAATTATAATAAAGATTAATTTATGTTTAATTACGTCAATATAGATATAAATGGATTTTATATTCAAATAGAATAAAATAACATATAAAAATATTATTGTATGCTATAAAATATTCGAAAAGTTATTTATTATTCAAAAAGAAATTTAAAGCTGATTTACGTTATTTCAAGAAATACATTTCTAGAATATCAGAATCGTTTTCACAGAATTGAAATTTATCAAGTGATTATCCAGCCAATTATGACGGATTATATTTTCTTTTTCCACAAATATCACTAATGCTGCAAAGTCCGTGACGAAACGGAATCGCATTATTACTCGGGTAACTCATTCATCATAATTAATCATGTACGTCACAGTCAATCAATATTGCTTTATTGGCTCCGTTACACGGTATGCCACTTGGAATTTCTGTGCAAAAGTGGGTCGCAAGAGCAAAATACGAAAATATCAAGATCATTTAGTTTGCCTTACAGATGAAATCACAAATCTCCGTGATTTCATCCGATAAATTGCCATAATAAGACCGTTACATTTTTAGAAAGCGTGCAAATTATCATCATAATCGTCAATCTCAGCAACGCTGAAAGATAAAAATTTGAAATGCTTAGGCCCGGTTGCATAATTCACTCTTCGTCTCTTTCTAAAGAGAACAGTTACAAAGAGATGAAGAGTGAGTTAAGCTAAGATTAAAGTTATGTGACGTTAATGCTACTGGGCCTTAAAGCATTAATAAACCTTGATGTATATTGCCCGAAAAGTAACCGGTAAACATCTCAAAAAGTAATAAATTCAAATAATATCAATAGTAATAATAATGATCACTCAACGATCTTAAATTCATTTTCGGATTAACTTCAATTGCTAAAATTGTCCAATTTGATTACGTTGAGATATATTTCATTGAGTTATGCGAAAAGCCGAGTAATAGTGGATTTTTTATCAGACGTATGGAATACAGCCGCTACTGACCTATTTGTTCTCTGGCGCTACTTTCCGCTGAGTATCGAATAGCACCATTATTCCCGGGAATATTTTACGAAACGGTACGTCGCGAAGTAGAACTGATCGAGTTTCGATTAAATTCTCGACAATGAAAGGACAACGCTGAAACTGGCGGCGACGGAACGCTCTTTTCCTCTCTCTGTCTGAATGTTCGATTTTCTTCTCGGTGGAAAAATGGAAACGCACACCCACGGCAGACAACGCAAATAAGAATACTAAATGAAGTTTGCTATTCAGCTGCCTAACATTATGTGGTAGCTATAAAATATATATATTATATAACACGATATTGGCTCATTCATTATACTAATTATTCTCGTACTACGTCTACATAAATTTCGATTAAATATTTTACGTCCCTCTAAGTCTAAGTTCACAATTAATCAATTCAATTTGCATATGAATGGATACATGAAGAAAGTATATTGCCTTAAGATTATCAAGTTGCAAAAATGGCAATGGCAAGAATATAATTTAAGACTATCTCGATAAGTTACTCATTAAAAAGCTAATTTCCATAAGTATCAAATTACTAAATTAAATAGAAAATATATAATAAAAAATAACAATGTATTCAAATTAAAGGTATTAAAAAATACGATATTTCTTATTTACTTTTTCATTTTATTTATTACTTTTAAATCGCAAAAAAAGATTAAAATAATTAAGAAAATATCTGACAATCTGAGATCTCGATAATAATAATATTTTATTATAATTGTTATTTACTATAAAACGTATATATAATTTTGTTATATATAAAATAATATCTCTTTTGTATTCAACTATCAAGAGTTTAGTTTCACAAGTGTTAATTAATGTTTCAATCCTTTGATATTAACGCGGTTCATATTCAATCAAACTGGAAATATTACAACATACTTTCTATAAATTCACGATTATAATGCCGTGAATAACTTCTATACAATATGACTTTAATGATTCAATTCGTAAATGAAATTAAATATAGCCTAACAAAGCTACGTTTTGATATAATAGGCAGTATGTCGTATCGTTTCCGACAATAGAGTGGACAGTATGGTACAAATTGTATTTCAAAATCAATATTCGCATAAACGCCAATGTATCACTATGCTTCAGTTAAATTAGAATTTCGTGGCAGTATGTACTCAATACGCATAAATGTATTAGCATAAATAAATCCAATCAGTATTGAAACATTGCTACAAACAAAACGATATAATATGGAAATACAAATAGAAATTGGCGCATTATTTATACATTATTACTAATCAAACAGATAAACCTCTAATTCATGACGTGAAGAAACTTTTAATCAAGATTCCGCGATAAAAACTTGGTATAACAAAAACGGGATGGCAAAAATTATTTTGAGGAAAAACGATGCACCGTAATATTTAACATCAGTTACTATATGTAATTGCGAGATACATGCAGCCGCCAATGGAAATACGAGAAATACGTGATTTCGCGAACGAAATGATTTCACCGATAGTGCCGCTATCGTCAGTCGGTGCTTTAACTTTTGTTAGAGCCGATCGTATAAATAATGCCGATACGAATAAATGTTTGCAATGAAAGCACAGAGACATTCGCGGACTCCGGTTCGTTACTCCGCGCGCTCGCCCCGCCGCGCTGTTTTTCCGCTGACAAAGTAAACTCGGTACATTTTGAAACGCAAAACAACCCGAGAATCGAAGTCTGAATGCTAGTCCGTTGCGTGCAGCAGTTTCACCACAGCCAGTAGTAACTGTATTTATCCGGTCGGCCGCAACAACCGGTATTATTAATGCTTCCGTATCGACCACATGCTACAAATTCAACCGTGGATTATAGACACGTTGGAAACGTGTGCGAAATTCGTAGGATACGCCGAAAGAAGTCTTTGTATATCGACAATATGAATGCGTTGTACTTTTCAGAGATAAAATCTCGAATTTTCGCAAACATAAAAGTCAGATAATGGTAGCTCTATGAATAATCTTAAAATATTTCATATCTATGTAACTCTATGGAACAAACATGATTTCACAACGAATAAAAGCAAAGAATCTTAGATATAAAAATAACAAAAAGAGATAGAATATATGTAAAAAAATTACAATATTCCTCACTTTAAATTCGAATAAGCAATGGCGTATATCATGTATACATAACACAAGTATTATTTTTATATAATTTTCTAACTATAAATACAAATAAAGCTAAAAGCTGTTAAATTAAAACTTGACTGATTCTTATATTTAGAGATGTAAAAAGTTCACATATATGTTCTTCGACAATGTATTCTTCGCGAGACGATATGAATTTTTCGGATTTTGATATTTTCGGATAAATTAGAGTATATATATAACCGCTTTTTAGAGTATGCAGGATTTATATGGAATTGTGCGGAGTTTATTTCCATCATTCACTCTTTACATATAGAGAATTCATTTTCCTTCAGTGTAACATAATTTAGTAAAATATTGCGAGCTGAAACTCGCTAATAACTCTGTTGCATATTTGATGATCGTTCTCTTGATGATGTTTTTTTTCGAACATTAAAAGGATATTCATATTCGTGCAAATATGTGTAACATAGAATATTCTCTAATATCAATTACGATTTGCCGTCTTGAAAAATTCTTTTTTTTTTTTTATTGTTATTATTCGCCAGTTTCGAAACTAAACGTCAAACGCGGACGTTGGAATCTCGAAATAGCCGCAAATGCGGCGAGGAAACAATTGTGCGGAAATTTCGCGCATTACTCGCGCGCAACGTGGCTTCCGCTCTATGTGGACGACCACGAACGGTAAAGGCGGTTAACCGATCAGCCACGGTACTCAATATCATTAAGGCTTTCCATATTTATGGTCTGTCAAGCACGGTCGCGCGGTTACGAATTTATCGTGAAACCGAATTACGCATAGAATTATTTTTGTCATAACCGCAAACATGTGAAACGTTTAGTTTACGTTAAATCCGTGTTATCCCTTCGTCAATATTTAGGCTAAGACATCTGAGACCAAAAGTTTGTGTTGTTACAGAAATATTCTTTCCGGAGGTATTAGATTTTGTTATCATATATCTTATTATAGTATGATAGATATTAATATATGTAGAACAGATATTTTTATTATAATAGTTTTGTTACCTTATTTTCAAGAAATTATATTTCAAAAAATATATAATTTCAGAGAAT